TTTTTGGGGAATTTTGGGATTTTTTTCCCTGGCACTGGTGGTTACTGGTTTGAACTGGGATTGTCCCCGATTGTCCCCGATTGTCCCTCAGTGTGACCCCGGCCAGGCCACCAAGCTCCTCTACGAGCTGCTCTACAATCTCCCGTTCAAGATCATCCTCATGCCCGGCTGCTCCAGCGTCTCCACCCTGGTGGCCGAGGCCGCCCGCATCTGGAATGTCACCGTGGTGAGGAATTTGGGGAAAATTCGGGAATTTTTGGGAAAAAAATTGGGAGTTTTGGGGATGGTTGGGGGTGTGGGAATTTTTGGGGATTTTTTGGGATTTTTTTCGGTGCGTTTTGGGGATTTTTTGGTGAATTTTTGGGGGTTTTTTTTTGATTTTTTAATTTTTTTAAGCCAATTTTTTTCCTTTTTTTCCAAATTTTTTAAATGAAATTTTGGGGTTTTTTTGGGGTTTTTTGGGTTTTTTTTTGTTTTAATTTTTTTCTTTTTTATTTTCAATTTTTTAAAATTTTGAGATTTGTGTTAAAATTTTTTTGAGAATATTTTTGGGGATTTTTTTTTGGTTTTATTTTATTTTAAAATTTGTTTTCAAAATTTTTTCTTTTTTTTTCATTTTTTAAAATTTTGGGATTTTTTTTTTTAATTTTTGTTTAAAATTTTTTGGGGGAATATTTTTGGGGAATTTTTGGGGTTTTTATTTTTAAATTTTTTTTCAAAATTTTTTCCTTTTTATTTCCAATTTTTTCTTTAAATATTTTAGTATTTGTGTTAAATTTTTGGGGGGGGAATATTTTTGGGGAATTTTTGGTTTTTATTTTATTTTAAAAATTTTTTATCAAATTTTTTTCATTTTTTTTTCAAATTTTTTAAAATATTTTGAGATTTGTGTTAAAATTTTTTTGAGAATATTTTTGGGGATTTTTTTTGTGTTTTTATTTTATTTTAAAAATTGTTTTTCAAAATTTTTTCTTTTTTTTTCCAAGTTTTTTAAAATATTTTGGGAATTGTGTAAAATTTTTGGGGGAATATTTTTGGGGGAATTTTTGGGTAATATTTGAAATTTGTTGGGAATTTTTTTCTGAAGTTTTGGGATTTTTTTGGGGTTTTTAAATTTTTTAAAAAGTTTTTTCCAATTTTTAAAAAATCTTTTGGGATTTTTTTCAACTTTTTTGGGGGAATATTTGGGATATTTTTTTTTTCAATTTTAAAAAAATATTTTGGGATTTTTTCTTTTAATTTTTTGGGGGATTTTTTGGGGGAAGTTTTGGGATTTTTTTTTTAAATTTTTCCAATTTTTAAAAATAATTTGGGATTTTTTATGGTGTTGCAATTTTTGGGAATTTTCTGGATTTTGGGGGGGGGAAGAAGATTTTTTTTTTGGTGAATATTCTGGAATTTTGTCTTTAATTTTTCAGGATTTTTTGGGGAATTTTCAGGATTTTTTGAGGGATTTTTAAAAGATTTTTTGGGATATTTATTTGGATTTTTAGGGATTTATTTGGTGGGGAATTTTTGGGCATTTTCTGGATTTCTTTTAATTTTAAATTTCTTCTGTGAATATTCTGAATTTTGGGGATTTTTCAAGACTTTTTGGGGGATTTTTTTGGGTTGTTCTTCGAATTTTTTTTCCACAATTTTTGGGCTTTTTTAAAGATTTTTTGGGGCATTTTTTCCAATTTTTGGGGGATTTTGGGGAGGATTTTCTGGATTTTGGGGCTTTTATTTTGGATTTTTAAAAGAATTTTTTTGGGGGGGGCGAAATTTTTGGGGATTCTTAAAACCTTTTTTAATTTTTAAATTTTTTTTTGTAATATTTTGAGAATTTAGGGGAAAATTGTTGAAAATGATTCTTTACCGATTTTTCCAAATTTCCAAGAATATTTCCTTGAATTTTTTTTTGTTCAATAAAATAAAAACTTTTGCACCTTTTATGGATCTTTGGGGAATTTTTTGGGGGGAAATTTGGGGATTTTGGGGCGTCCTTCCCGTCACTCCCATTCCCAAAATTCCCACCTTGTTCTTCCCAGATTTTTCCTGTCACTCCCATTCCCAAAATTCCCAAAATTCCCAAAATTTCCCTTCCCTTTCCTGCCATTCCCGTATTTCCCATAATTCCCAAATCCCCACAATTTCCCCAATTCCCATTCCCAAAAATTCCCAAAATTTCAATCCCACAATTCCCACAATTCCCCTTCCCAAATCCCAAAATCCCAAAAATTCCCAAATTCCTTTCCCCATTCCCAAAATCCCACAATTCCCATAATTCCCCAAAATTCCCAAATTCCCAAAATTCCCAAATCCCAATTCCCACTCCCACAACTCCCAAAATCCCCAAAATTCCCAATTTCCCACAATTCCCAAACTCCAAAAATTCCCACAATTCCCAAATTCCCAAAATTCTCAAGTTCCCATTCCCAAAATTCCCAAATTCCCACAATTTCCATCCCAAAATCCCCAAAATTCCACCATTCCCAAAATCCCCCAAATCCTCACCATTCCCATATTTCCCATAATTCCCAAATCTTTAAATCCTCAAAATTCCCACAATTCCCATTATTTCCATAATTCCCAAATCCCCAAATTCCTAAAATTCCCACAATCCCCAAATCCCCAAAATCCTGAAATTCTCATTCCCAAAAATTCCCAAATTCCCAGAATTCCCAGAATTCCCAAAATTCCCATCCCTAAAATTCCACAATTCCCAAAATTCTGCTTCCCATTCCCACCATTCCCATTCCCACATTTCCCAAAATTCCCACCCAGAATTCCCACAATTCCCTTCCCAAAATACCAAAAATTCCCCAAAATCCCAAATCCCCAAAATTCCTCAAATCCTCACAATTCCCAAAATTCCCATTCCAACAATTCCCACAATTCCCAAATTCCCACAATCCCCAAATCCCAAAAATTCCCCAAATCCCAAAAAAACCCCAAAATCCCCACAATTCCCATCCCCAAATTCCTGTTCCCGTCTCCATTCCCAGCCTCCCAAATTCCCAAAATTCCAATTCCCAAATCCCCAAAATCCCCAAAATATTAAAAAAAAAAAAATTTAAAATCCCCAAAAATCACCAAAAATTCCCCCCAAAATTTGGAATTTTTGGGCGTTCCCAGCTCTCCCAACCCCGGCGTTTCCCGACGTTTTTCCGGACCCACCATAACCCCAAAATTCCCAAAATTCCAACGATTCCCATCTGCCAAAATTCCCAAAATTCCAATTCTCAAAAACAATCCCCAAAATCCTTGGAAAATTCCAAAAAAATCCCAAATAAATCCCATAAAAATTAAAAAAAAAATCCCCCCAAAAAAGCCCAAAAATGTCTAAAAAATCCCAGAAAAAAATCCACAAAAATCCCCAAAAAAATTTTAAAAAATCCCCCCAAAATATCGAAATGTGCCCCCCAAAAACATCCCCAAAAATGTCTAAAAAATCCACAAAAATCCCCCCAAAAATTCCAAAAAAATCTCCCAAAAATACCAAAAAATATCTAAAAAATCCCAGAAAAAAAATCCCCAAAAATCCCCCAAAAAATTACAAAAAAATCCCCCAAAAATTACCAAAAAAAAAAAATCCCCCCGAAATCTCCAAAATTCCCATTCCCAAATCCCAAAATAATCCCAGAAAAAGCCCAAAAATCCCAGAAAAAGCTAAAAAAAATTCCAAAAAAGTCCCCAAAAAATCCTCAAAAAAAAATTAAAAAAAAAAGTTCCCCCAAAATATCCACAAAAATTTTAAAAAATTACCCAAAATTCTCCACCAAAAACCCCCCAAAAATCTGCAAAAACATCCCCAAAAATCTGCCAAAAAATCCAAAAAATTCCCCAAACAACCCCCAAAAGAAAATACAAAAATATCACCAAAAATCCCAAAAAAACGTCCAAAAAAGCACAAAAAACCCCAAAATAGTCCCAAAATTCCTAGTCCCAAATCCCTAAAATCCCCAAAATCCCAATTTCCCAAATCCCCAAAAATCCCAAATGATGCCAAAAAAATCCCAAAAAATCCCAAAAAAACCTCAAAGAAAATCACCAAAAATCCCAAAAAACATCCAAAAAAAGTCACCAAAAATCCCCGAAAAAAACTAAAAAAAAAATCCCAAAAAACTCCTAAAAATCCCCCCAAAATCCCAAAAAAACCTCCAAAAAATCACAAAAAAATTCAAACAATACTCCAAAAAATCACCAAAAAAATCCCAAAAAACCTCCCAAAAATTCGCCAAAAAAACCACCAAAAAGCCTCCAAAAAATCCTCAAAAAACCTCCAAAAAATCCCCAAAAAACCTCAAAAAATCACCAAAAACCCCCCAAAAAAACTCCAAAAAATCCTCAAAAAATCCCCAAAAAATCACCAAAAAACCTCCAAAAAATCACCCAAAAATCCAAAAAAACCTCCAAAAATCCCAAAAAAACCCCTCCAAAAATCACAAAAAAAAATCACCAAAAATCCCCAACAAACCTCCAAAAAATCCCCAAAAATCCCCCCAAAAAAACCCTGAAAAATCACACACACACACAAAAATATCCTAAAAAAATCACCAAAAATCCCCAACAAAACCTCCAAAAAATCCTCAAAAAATCCCCAAAAAATCACCAAAAAACCTCCAAAAAATCACCAAAAATCAAAAAAAAAAATCCCCAAAAAATCCCAAAAAACCTCCAAAAAATCACCAAAAATCCCAAAAAAACCCCTCCAAAAATCACAAAAAATAAAAAAAACTCCTAAAAAAATCCCCAAAATTCCCCCCAAAAATTCAAAAAATCCCCAAAAATCCCCCAAAAAACCCTCCAAAAAATCCCCAAAAATCCCCCCAAAAACCGGTCAAAAAATAACAAAAAAATTCAAAAAAACACCTCCAAAAATCACCAAAAATCCCAAAAAATCTCCAAAAAAAATCACAAAAAAACCTCCAAAAAATCACCAAAAATCCCCCAAAACCCTCAAAAAAAATCCCCAAAAATCCCCCAAAAACCTCCAAAAAACCCTCCAAAAATCACCAAAAAATCCAAAAAAAATCCCAAAAAACCTCCAAAAAATCCCCAAAATTTCCAAGAAACCTCAACAAAAATCCCCCAAAACCCCCAAAAAATCCCCAAAAAAGTCCAAAAATTCACCCAAAAATCCCCCAAAAAAAACCTCCCAAAAACCACCAAAAAATCCCCAAAAATCCTCAAAAAAAATCACCAAAAATCCCAAAAAAAGCTCCAAAAAATTCCCCAAAAATCCCCAAAAAAAGCTCAAAAAATCACAAACAAATCCCAAAAAACCCTCCAAAAATCACCAAAAATCCCCCCCAAAAAAGCCAAAAAAATCCCCAAAAATCCACAAAAAATCACCAAAAAATCCCAAAAAATCCCAAAAAACACCAAAAAATCACCAAAAATCCTCCAAAAATTCCCAAAAACTCCCAAAAAACCTCCAAAAAATCGTCAAAAAATACCCAAAAACCCTCCAAAAAATCCCCAAAAATCCCCAACAAAACCCCCAAAAAACCTCCAAAAAACCCCCAAAAATCCCCAAAAAATCCCCAAAAAACCCCCAAAAAACCCCCAAAAAATCTCGAAAAATTCCCAAAAACTCCCAAAAAACCTCCAAAAAATCGTCAAAAAATACCAAAGAAAACCACAAAAAATCACCAAAAAAAATCCCCCAAAAAATCACCAAAAAACCCCAAAAATCCTCAAAAAAATCACCAAAAAACCTCCAAAAAATCACAAAAAATTCCAAAAAAAACCCCCAAAAATCACCAAAAAACCTCCAAAAAAATCCCCAAAAATCCCCCAAAAAAGCTCAAAAAAATCACATGAAAATCCCAAAAAAATCACCAAAAAATCCCAAAAAAACCCCAAAAAATCCCCAAAAAACCCCAAAAAATCCCCAAAAAACCTCAAAAAAATTCCCAAAAACTCCCAAAAAACCTCCAAAAAATCATCAAAAATTACCAAAGAAAACTACAAAAAATCACCAAAAAATCCCAAAAAATCCCCCAAAAATCCCCAAAAACCCCCCAAAAATCCGCAAAAAATCCCAAAAAACCCCCAAAAAATCACCAAAAATCCTCCAAAAATTCCCAAAAACTCCCAAAAAACCTCCAAAAAATCGTCAAAAAATACCAAAAAAAACCTACAAAAAATCACCAAAAAATCCCAAAAAAATCCCCAAAAAACCTCCAAAAAATCACCAAAATCCCCAAAAAAACCTCACAAAATCCCCAAAAATCCTCAAAAAATCACCAAAAAAACCCCCAAAAAAACCCCAAAAAATCACCAAAAAACCTCCAAAAAATCCCCAAAATCCCCAAAAAAAGCTCAAAAAAATCACATGAAAATCCCAAAAAAATCACCAAAAAATCCCCAAAAAACCTCGAAAAGATCACAAAAAAAAAAAAAAAAACTTCCAAAAAAATCACCAAAAATCCAAAAAAAAGCTCCAAAAAATCCCCAAAAATCCACAAAAAAACTCGAAAAATCCCCCAAAAAAACTCCAAAAAAACTCCAAAAAAATTCCCAAAAAAACTTCCAAAAAATCCCCAAAAAAATCCCCCAAAAATCCCCAAAAAACCCCAAAAACCCCCAAAAACCCCAAAAACCCCCCAAAAAACTTCGATTTTTTCGCGATTTTCCCCAAACCTTTTATGAATTTTTCACGAAATCACCAAACCCCCCCGAAATTTGCCCTTTTCGGTGCCTCCCCAGCTGTCGTACGGCTCCAGCTCCCCGGCGCTCTCCAACCGCCGGCGTTTCCCGACGTTTTTCCGGACTCATCCCTCGGCCACCCTGCACAACCCCACGCGCGTTCAGCTCTTCAAGAAGTGGGGGCTGGACCAAGATCGCCACCATCCAGCAGACAGAGGAGGTCTTCACCTCGGTACGAACCCCAAAAACGGCACTGGCGCCCCGAAAAACGGCCCGGGGTCTGAGACCTTCATGGAATTTCAACTTGGGTTTGGTGACCTCAAAATCCTCCTTGGGTTCCTCTTTGGTGGCCCCAAAATTTCCTCCTTGGTGGCCCCAAAATTCTTCTTGGTGGCCCCAAAATCTTCTTTGAGTTCCTCCTTGGTGGCCTCAAAATTCTTGTTAGGTTCTTCTTTGGTGGCCCCAAAATCCTCTTTGAGATCCTCTTTGATGGCCCAAAATTTCCTCCTTGGTGGCCTCAAAATCCTCCTTGGTGGCCCCCAAAATCCTCCTGGGGTTCCTCCTTGGTGGCCCCAAAATTTCCTCCTTGGTAGCCCCAAAATTCTCCTTGGTGGCCTCCACATTCACCTCGGTAGGAACCCCAAAAACGGCACCGGGCGCCCCGAAACCAGCCCGGGGTCCGAGACCTTCATGGAATTTCAACATGGGTTTGGTGACCCCAAAATTCTTCTCGGGTTTCTCTTTGGTGACCCCAAAATCCTCCTTGGGGTTCCTCCTTGGTGGCCCCAAAATTTCCTCCTTGGTGGCCCCAAAATCCTCCTCAGGTTCCTCTTTGGTGGCCCCAAAAATTCTTCTTGAGTTCCCTCATGATGGCCCCAAAATCCTCTTTGAGATCCTCTTTGATGGCCCCAAAATTTCGTCCTTGGTGGCCCCAAAATCCTCCTTGGGTTCCTCCTTGGTGGCCCCAAAATCCTCCTTGAGTTCCTCTTTGGTGGCCCCAAAAATCATCTTTGATGTCCCAAACCCCATTTCTGATGTCCCCAACCCCTCCAGATGCCACCACACCCCCCATTTTTGGTGTCCCCAACCCCATTTCTGGTGTCCCCAACCCCTCTTAGATGCCACCACCCCCCCCATTTCTGATGTCCCCAACCCCTCCTAGATGCCCACCACCCCCCATTTCTGGTGTCCCCAACCCCATTTCTGGTGTCCCCAACCCCTCTTAGATGCCGACCAACCCCATTTTGGTGCCCCCACCCCCCCATTTCTGATGTCCCCAACCCCATTTCTGGTGTCCCCAACCCCATTTTTGATGCCCCCAACCCCATTTTTGGTGTCCCCAACCCCATTCTGATGTCCCCACCCCCATTTCTGGTGTCCCCAACCCCATTTCTGGTGTCCCCAACACCCATTTTTGGTGTCCCCAACCCCATTTTTGGTGTCCCCACCCCCATTTCTGATGTCCCCCACCCCCATTTCTGATGTCCCCAAACCCCTTTTTTGGTGTCCCCACCCCCCATTTCTGATGTCCCCCAACCCCATTTTTGGTCCCCACCAGACCCTGGACGACCTCGACCGTCGGGTGAAGGAGGCGGGGCTGGAGATCACCCTTCCGCCAGAGCTTCTTCTCCGACCCCTCCGCGTCCGTCAAGAACCTCAAGGTGAGACCTGGGGACCACCCAAAGGTCCAACCCCACCCTCGGGACCTCCTCAAGGTCCAACCCCACCCTTGGGACCACCCCGAGGTCCAACCCCACCCTCGGGACCTCCTCAAGGTCCAACCCCACCCTTGGGACCACCTCAAGGTCCAACCCCATCCTTGGGACCACCTCAAGGTCCAACCCCACCCTTGGGACCACCTCAAGGTCCAACCCCACCCTTGGGACCACCCTGAGGTCCAACCCCACCCTTGGGACCACCCCCAGGTCCAACCCCACCCTTGGGACCACCCTGAGGTCCAACCCCACCCTTGGGACCACCTCAAGGTCCAACCCCCACCCTTGGGACCACCCTGAGGTCCAACCCCACCCTTGTGACCACCCTGAGGTCCAACCCCACCCTTGGGACCACCCCCAGGTCCAACCCCACCCTTGGGACCACCCCTGAGGTCCAACCCCCACCCTCGGGACCCACCTCAAGGTCCAACCCCAACCCTTGGGACCACCCCAAGGTCCAACCCCACCCTTGGGACCACCTCAAGGTCCAACCCCACCCTTGGGTCCACCCCGAGCTTCAACCCCACCTCCAGGACCACCCTGAGCTCCAACCCCACCCTTGGGACCACCTCAAGGTCCAACCCCACCCTTGGGACCACCTCAAGGTCCAACCCCACCCTTGGGACCTCCTCAAGGTCCAACCCCACCTTCAGGACCACCTCAAGGTCCAACCCCACCCTTGGGACCACCTCAAGGTCCAACCCCACCCTTGGGTCCACCTCAAGGTCCAACCCCACCCTTGGGACCTCCAGGAGGTCCAACCCCACCCTTGGGACCACCTCAAGGTCCAACCCCACCCTCGGGACCACCTCAAGGTCCAACCCCACCCTTGGGACCACCCTGAGGTCCAACCCCACCCTCGGGACCACCCCAAGGTCCAACCCCACCCTTGGGACCTCCTCAAGGTCCAACCCCACCCCTGGGACCACCCCGAGGTCCAACCCCACCCTTGGGACCACCTCAAGGTCCAACCCCACCCTTGGGACCTCCTCAAGGTCCAACCCCACCCTTGGGTCCACCTCAAGGTCCAACCCCACCCTTGGGACCACCTCGAGGTCCAACCCCACCTTCAAGACCCTCCCCACCATGGTGGACCTCCAAAAAGAGGAGAAACCGCCCCAAAAATCCATGGGGGTCCTAAGAGGAAGGGGTGGGAGAGGGTGGGTGGTTTATGCAAATGAGGTGGGCGGGGCCGTAAGGAACGGTCCAATCCCGCAGCGGCAGGACGCCCGGATCATCGTGGGGCTCTTCTACGAGACGGTGGCCAGGAAGGTCTTCTGTGAGGTGGGACTGAGGAGATGGGTGGTGGGGAGTGGTGGATCGGGGACGG